TCGTTGTTGTTGGTTTGTAGGTGTCAAGCATGTTTCTCTATGTCTGACTGTCAGTGACAGTGTTAGGTGTACACATGTGTGTGGGTGTGTGTGTGTGTGTGTTGTGTGTGTGTGTGAGAGTGTATCAGTGTTTATAACAGCGCATCACTCAGCCTAAAAGCTGTCGATAGGCGAACAGAAACGTCATCACACCGTCAACGCACTGTAAACCCAAATGCACAAAAATAATTGGCGTTTGTAGAATATTTACAGGTGAGTAATTATCTACTGTTAATTATCTGCTTATTAACATGCTAATTAGTTGCCCTAATTGCTATTGATTAGCTGCTATTAATTGCTATCAATCTTCCTGCAGTTTCCTGTGCTTGTTTTGATTGATAATCCCTAAAAATCAACATTGTAAAATGTTGTTGTTGATGTTTTAGTAAAAGTGTTCAAGCTATTTTGAGTGATTAGAGTTTGGGACTTTGATGAAGTGATTCAAATTTCTATGCTTTTGTTATTGGTGGCATTTAATTACTTTTTTTTTTCCTGAATCAGTGTTTTGTTTTTACGTCAAATTAAAAGTACAGAAGCCTTTAATTATATTTTATTTTATACATCTGGGTTTACAGTGGGCTTCACCTGTCAGTTAAAAATGTCTTCTTCTTTCTTCACGGGTTTTCTGACCTGACTGCACTCTCCAACAGGTACAGGCTGAAACACTGACGAGGCCAATGAAATGTTGGAATAATGTTTTACTATGTGTATGTTATGGTTACAAAATGCTATTTATCTCCCGAGGATCTTCTTTATTACTTTCTAATTTCGCTGGCGTCTTTAGTGTTTTTCTGACCCACACAGTGTGAACGGCAGGTGGATCAGTGGTGTGGAAGTCGTCGGTATTACGTCACCTGTTACTGGTGGTCATGGGAGTGTGTGTGTGTGTGTGTGTTTCAGCCTGTCCTCTGTCTGAGAGCGCCCATTGCTGCTCATCTCGTCAAAACTATCTCTCCTCATCCTTAAATACAATAGAACAAGTCACTACACTAAGTGTAATATATGCTTTTCTCCAGCCTGGCTCTCTCTCTCTCTCTCTCTTTCTCTCGCTCTCTCTCTCCTCTAGGCTGAGACTGAACTGAACTGAGCACCAACCTGGAACAGTACACACACACGATAACAGAGTATTATTATTATTATTACTGTAATATTATTACCATTATTTTTCGATTATCATTACTCCCTAATCTAACATGAAATCAGAGGTTACACTGACTGACTGACTGACATGCAGCACCTGGGAGAGGAGGGGGTCGAGGAGAGGGGGGAAGAAGAGGCGTGGGCGGGGAGGCAGGGAGGGCGGGCAGCACCGAGCGGCACGAGGGTGGTGACGTCACACCCAGGGGGCGCTATGGGGAGCCTGATGGCGGCGAGTACACAGTGTGTATGCTTGTAAGTGTGTTTGTTTGTTTTGTTTTTGACTAGTGATGTCCTCCGCAGCGTGAAGAGGGGTTCAGAGAAGAGTGTTTGCAGCAAAATGTGTGTATGTTTGTGTGTGTGTGTGTGTGTGTGAGAGAGAGAGAGAGACCTGTAAAAAAGAGTTTAAGAGTTTAAAAAGCACCTGAAGGTCGTTTGTATAAACGGAGAGTTGGGGAAAAAAACTCCTTGAACCTGCTGCTGGTTTGTAGTTTTTTTGTGTGTCAACGTGCAAGTGTGTGCACGTTTGTGCGTGTAGTCTGCACGTGTCCAGTTTGTGAGCTGGTATCGGAGGAAAGGTCAAAGGATTGAAAATAAAGGCTTCTGGGAAGAAGAAGAAAAAAAAATAAAGATGGTCGTTTGAAGACCAAAGCACCAGACTGAAAGGGACGACAGCCCTGTCTAAATAAAAGCATACAGCAGAAATGTGTGCATCATCGTCATCATCATCATCATCATCGTAATGACTTCACCTGCCTGAGAATATCCCAGCATGCATTGGGCATCATAAGGCAGCAGAGGTTGCACCCTTGCATCTTGTAAGGAAGTGTGTGTGTTATTTATACAGGACTGTGTGTTTCAGTCGTAGGAAGTAGAAAACCAGCAGAGGGAATGTCTGGTTCTGGTTCTGGTTCTGGTTCCACTGGACGTCGCTGCAGTGTTTGTGGGTCTGAATTTAGAATGAAACTGGGGAGGAGCTGATAGAAGGGTGTGTGAGGTTGGACCAGAGGTGCTGACTACTACCTGGAAGACTTTGGGTTTGAATCCCGGCAAAATCTCAGGAAGATCCTCTTTCAATTCTTTACACCAAGATCCAGAGATTTTTTTTTTATCTGAAGGTGACAAAGATGTTCGTCATTAAATGAAAAATGATTATATTCTAACATTTTAAATAGTTGATTTTGACTGGACTTTGGTTTGAAATAGTTTAGAAATCTCTACAAATGTTTGTTTCCCGTTAAAAAGGTTTGTCCTCACAACAAGATATTAAAGCATGATACCAACCCCCACGAAGCCGCCCTGTGGGTGGTGAGTCTGTTGGAAAGCACCAAGTGGGATTCGAACTTGCCCAGGAGGTGGACCCTGGGGTTCTACACCAACCACAGAGACACTGCCTCTGGGCCAAAGCGCCCCGTTTTTTAAAGCCTTTTTTTATTATCACCTGCAGCCACAATAGTCAAGGCGTTATTTTTGAAACATTACTGCCATCCAGTGGCCATTTCTTTAATTTCTACGTTTCAAGTTGATTTAGCACAGAAATAAAGCCAAATAACACATGACGTCATTTCACTTCCTAAAGTGCCTCCTCCACCTGCTTGGACTTTTATCTGACCGTTCTCCTTCAGGGACACAAAACTGCAGCGACGTCATCAACCAGAGACCGTTCAGTCTCCATGAGCACCCGAAGACTGTCAGTGTTATTAGAGCGGCACCGATGGACACCAGCACCATGAGCATTGACTGCTGATCTGTGTGTTTTGGTGTTGTGAGTGTTTGTTGTACCAACGATAGTAAAAAAAAAAAAAAGAAAAAAGAAAGAAAGAAAGAAAGAAAAAGAAAAGAAAGAAGCACTGTTTCTAATCCTAACCATATGGATACAGTGACGTGTTGTGGTCGAGAGGAACTCACAGGTGTGATGACCATGAGGTTCACACTGATGTACATGTGGATACGTATGTAGCTATTGTATATATTAAAAAAAAAAAAAAAAAAGAGGGAGAGTTGGGGAGATTTTTGTGAGCTTTTGGGTTTGAAGTCCATAAAGCCAGAGGACATCAGTTTCAAGGTCGGACAGGAAGTTCAGGTGTGAAGATTAACAGTACGGGAACCCTGCACAAGGGAGTGGCTGTTTGCCAGGGTTCACTCAAAGGCTGTAAATAGAGATGGACCACACAGGAGCTCCCTGAACATTGTGATCGCCCCCTAGTGTCAGGCTGCGGTGTGATCCATTTTAAGGGAGTGGGATCTCAGCTCATCCCTATGACGTTGTTGCCGTTAAAGGGCGAAGAAAGGTCCGAACTCAAGGAACCGCACATCATGACACGAACATGAAAAACGCATTTAACTTTTTTACGTTTTGGAGACCGAACATTTCTTCACTACCGGGTGCATGATCATGAAATCTGACGTCAGCCAAACGAAACAGCAGCGCCCCCAAGTGGAACAAATTGGAATCACGTTTGTAAAAGTATAGAAAGCGTGTGGTCCATCTTTACTTACAGTAATGTGTGTCAGTAAAGTAGCACCAGGGCACTGAGGTCAGCCTAAGGTTAACAGCTGTGTGATTATTTGTTTGTGTGTGTGTGTGTGTGTGTGTTCGTCATCCTGCGTCAGGCAACCTTCAAACTGACAGTAAAATGTGTGTAAATATCTGCGTTTCCTCGTCACTTGATGTTGGAGTTGTGTGTGTGTGTGTGTGTGTGACAGCAAGAGAGGGAGAAAGGGTTAATGTATGTGTGTGTGTGTGTGTGACTAATTGCAGGCAAAGTACTCCTTAAGTGGGGCGAAGAGGTGCCTGATGACGGGGACGCTCCAGGAACGACCCAGCAGCCTTTGCCTGGCGAGACGACTCATGTTGGACACGTCAGTGTAGTGGACGGGGAAACCAAAGACCCTGGAGGGAGAGAGAGGCAGAGAGAGGGAGAGAGAGAGATTTTATTTACAACCAGACCACAACAATTTTAATGTCATTGCAGCAAAACATGAGGTATTTAGTGATAAACTCATGCGTGTGTTTAACGCCCCCTGCTGGTATATATATATATTTGTGTTTGTTTTATTTAAATATTCATTTGAACTTACTATGTCAAAAAGTAAACGGTTAATTTTATTGTATATGTTTTTTTTTTTTAATGTGACAGCATCATGACCTTTTGACCTCTTTGACCCCTCCCACCCTGCTGACCTTTGACTGGTTGAAAACACGAGTTGGGTGGTTTGACTAGCACTAGACACAGAACAGTGAGGTGTGTTGAAACAAGCAGATGAACACTCTTACTTCTCCATCTCAGTACACCACAGGATGTCCTCCTTGTTGTCCATGAAGACGGGGAAATGCTCGTCTTTCCCCTGCTTCACAGAGTTGGAGCGGGTGGTTATCGTACGCAACTTCTCAAACTGGAATTTAAACATCCAGAACCAAACACACACACACACAGACACAGACACACACGCAAACACGTGCATTTAAGTCCTACAACTGTCTGCAACGTCATCAAAATTAAATTGAAATAAAAAAGTAAACAGTTCCAGTCACGTGGACAAACTGCTGCACTCGTCTGTGTCATGTGACTGCTTACCACAGCTTTAAAAGTGAGCCAAAAAACACACTCACACACACTTACAACCACACACGACCACATTCTCTCTCTCTCACACACACACACACACACACCTTGGCTGTGCGTCCGTGCTCCAGGCAGTCCTGTAGGTCCAGCCTGTCGTTGGCCATCGGAGTCAGAGGTCTGTAAAAAATCGCAGCGAGAGAATGTTTCTAAACGTGGAGCAGGTGAAACAGTCACTCACATTTTTTTTCTATACAAGACACAATGTGTTTGAGTACGTGTTTGAAGGTAACACCTGGACATTCCGGGCAGGTTCCCCCAGAAGTAGCGAGCGCGGTGGGCAGCGGAGACCTCCTTGGCGTCGATCATTACTGGATTACACTGTGGGTTCACAGCAGAAGGTCTTTACTGTCGATGTCGTTAATGACGTGTGTGTGGATACGTGGGAGACGTTACGTAAAATTAACGTCAATAAATCATTTTCTAATGTGCTATTTTTAAGAAAAGGTTAAGGCAGTGGTTCTCAAAGTGGGGGGCAGGCCCCCCCACAGGTCCCACCACAGCTTTTGCATTGATTTGACTTTATTGTTTTTGTTTTTTGTGCCGTGTTCTTTATTTCTGTCAATCCATCGTGATTTGTCCAACTTTTTTTTAAAACATATTTCACTGTTATTTTATTTAGTTTCATTGATAAAATGCATTAAAATCCCTGGTTAATTTTTCATGTTTTTGTTGATTTCCTCTCACTAACTTCACCAGAACTCCTATCCACACGACGCCGCGTGAGTCGGCCAGATGGTCGTACCTCTAAGAAGCGAGAGATGTCCCGTTTGTCGCTGACTCCCATCGCCACCACGTTCTCAAACAGCCAGAAAAACGGCCGCTCGTCGCCAGGTTTTGGTCGAGCCTCGTGGAGCAGACGGTAGAACTCAAAAAACAACCGTCCGGTTCCCTCTGCGCCAGACGGACACAAACAGGAGTCAAATCCAAAAATCTAAAATGTTTAACTCACATATGTGTGTGTGTGTGTGTGATCCTCTGAGTTGGTCTGGACTGATTCTAACCAAAAAGGCCTTTCCGTGCAGGGTTGACTATGGACAGGTCGTTGCAGGGACTTCCACCGATAACCAGGTCAAATGGCCCCCACTCTTCAATCTGCAGAGGACAAAGAACATCAGAACAAGGTCAAGATATGAATAATAATTTTTTTTTAAATGCAGCAAAGTTTAGTAGGAAGGTAAAAATGTCAATACATTGAAATATCCAGTGATATTTAACCAGTAACTGCGATGAAAAAGAAAAAAAAAGTATATAATTTCACTTACATGTTTGTGAGTGACGTTACGGACATCGCCCACGTACATGATGCGTCCCTGGTGTCGAACCATGCCCACAGTGATGGAGTCTTCGCACACCTCGGAGGCCACGTACTTGTCCACCTGGATACCCAGGTCCTTCAGCACCAGAAGTCCTGAGGGGGGCAACCACCAGAGATGAAAAAAAAATCACATTTATATATACATTCTGGTCTGAATATACATAATAAATAAAAAGGATGTGCTTGCCTGTGGCGATGCCATCAAACAAGGAGAGGACTCTGATTGGCTGTCTCTTCTCAGCTGCCACAGGAACATATAATTTGGGGGGCTCCTGCAATAAGATGAAATCACGGAGGAGAGTTCAGTGACCACCCTGGCGATGATGAGATGAATCGTACGAGGAGGAAAAAAAACTCCCGACTCACAAATTCCTGCTCATGGTTGTTGGCGAAGAAGTGCTGCAGCCTGCAGGGCCAGTCGTCCCGTCGCCGCAGTAACCCGTAGGTGTTTCGAGGTCCGCACATGTAGCAGTTCCACGGGTCTTCTTTGATGGCCGCCGCCGCCGAGCCGGCGCCGACCAGGAGATCCACACACTCCACGCAGAAACACCTTCACACACACACACACAAATATTAAATGTATATGTATGTTACAGATTAGAAGACCTTTGTCCAGTGACCCATATCCAGAGCAGCGGTAAAGTACGGTACAGGACTGACCGACAGCAGTTGTTGTTGCCACACATCAGCACTTCCCTGCCTCCACAGCAGATGGTGCAGTAGGACTGGTAGCCGTCATCGTCGTACTGATAGGCACACTCCAGGAAGGAGTTCTGTTCAAAGAAGAAGAAGGCGGTGAGTGCAGTGTCAGCGCTGAGCAACAGGATTTAAAGGTACAGTTCAGGCTATTTTAACAGTAACTTTAACTTCTAGGAATAAAGAAAAGAACTCCTGTGATCCAATCTTTTATCTTATTTCACTGACATTTTCATTACTATTTACTAGATAATAATCATATAGATCCACTAAAAACACTTTATTTCATTTTTTTAATCTTACTTTGCAGCCCTGGCACATGGCTCCAACAAAGAGAGGATGCTCCAGAGAGACGTTGAGGCTCCCGCAGGAGATACAGATGTCTGAGTCAGAGAAAAGGGAGAAATAAACAAACATTTACAGCTGTATTATATAAATATGACTTTAGATCAGTGATTCCCAGCCCCTGTGCCGTGGCACACTAGTGTGCCGTGGAAAATTATCCAATTTCAATTAATTGGGCTGAAAAATATGTGGCACACTAGTGTGCCGTGGAAAATTGGGCTGAAAAATATTATTTATTTTGTGCTGATAATTTTGCTTGTCAAAGTGTGAAAGGCAGTGCAATTAAACACTCTTCTGCTAGGTGGCAGCAGATGGCTATGAAAACTAAAAAAAGAAAAAGATAATCAGAGCTGTTGAAGAAGATTTTTGTGAGTGTCTTTCTTCAATTCCTACCAGTATATCAGCGCTGTCTTTAACTAAACAGGCCTGAGAGATCTTTGTGAGTGTCTTTCTTCAATTTTTTTTTAGTCAATTAATAAATGAAAGAATTTCAAAGCATCAAAATGAACTCAGTAAAATAGTAAAATAAGGACTTTTTGTCCAAAAAAAAATACAGTAATACATCAATGCAAATGCAATACTGAGGTTTTAAATATCCTTACAAAATAAAAACATATTTCACACATGGAGGAATAATTTTAAGGCCTTCAATTACACAGTATAAATTTAGTAGAACATTCAGTAGATTGTATATATTTTATGGTATACAATTAGGACCAGAGTTGTTTACCTTCTATATTCCTGGTCTTCTTCTTGATTTCATTTATAAGCCTCTCTGGAAAACAGGAAATGTATATTTTATTCTAACATATGGACAAATATACCCTCCATACAGACGAACAGTCTGCAGACCGACGTGTTTACCTCGGGTGCCCTCGTCGATCACCTCCCTGATCTTGGCTTTCTCGGCTGAGTTCTTGCGCGGTTTCTTTGCGGGCGGCGGCGTGTACGCGGCCTCAGGCTCCGCCCACATCTCCGGGTAAACTTCTTTGTAGGGATTCTGCTCCTCTGTGAGCGTGAAAGGAGCAGAGATGAAACTCAACCGATCAAAGAGGAACTCACAGAGGTAACAGGTCGGTGCAGGCAGAACCACCTTCACCTTCCGGAGGATCCAGAGACTGAGGGCCGTTGGGCAGGAAGCCTTTCATGGCCCACTCTATCATCTGTCTGGTCTGTATCTCCACGCCATCGGCATCATCACTGGCATCACAGGAAGGAACGGGTCGCCCTGCCCTCACACTGGCCACCTGATCACACACACAACCAAACATAAAGTATCAAACTGCAACGTCAACTTCCTAAATTATACATATGAATTAATTTATTATTGTAACTTTTTTTTTTTTACTTTTTTAATTTAATTATTTAAATTCTTTATTTAAATTTCTACTTATCTCCATTTTAATATTTATTAGTAATTTTCACACAATATAATTTTAAAATATATACAAACATTTCTTATTTTATGAAATTGTTTAAAATGTCATTAAATAATTGGTAATTAATTTTTAAAATGAAAGTAAACAGTTATAAAAATATTGTATTGTAAAAATATAACAACACGTTTACAATAAATAAACTGATGATGTAATGTTGATTTATGTGATTATTAACTATTTTTAATTGTATCTATTTTTAGTTTAAGTTTAGTTTAGTTTTTGTATTTATTTCACATTTATTTATTTTAACCTTTTGTTTATTTGTTTTCTAATTATTACTAATAAATGAATTTTTATGTTTATATATTTTATGTTTATTTTATGTTTTATGAGTGAATAAGCTCCAGTTTGTTAACATTCTGCTGTTGGCTTCACTGTGACATTATTTTGTTATTTCATATGAACATTTTTTTTTACATTTTCAAATCCACATATTGCAGCAGCGGAACTTTTATTTTTTTAGACTGTGTTTAAGCTGTGGGCAGGATGAGAGCAAACACCTCCACAGCAGAAAAACCACATTAGGTCAGAGTAGGAGGAAAACGGTGACCTCTTGACCTCTACCAGTGGAGTCGTGACTTGAAAGATGCTAATGTTGCTAACAATAATGGTGGGTTAATGACCTGCAGAGCCTCGAAGATGGCCTTCCTGTACATGGGCTGTTTGTTGTAGGTGGGCTGGTGGAAGGCAGAGGAGAAGGAGCTGAGAGGCATCAGCTTCTCCACACACACCTGCAGAGGAGGAGAGGAGTGCATTCCAAGATGATAAAGCAAATAAAACAACACATCATCCCATTTATATCCGTGTTTTGCATTTTCCCGACAGCTCACTCACCACAGAGAATTTGCCGTCACCGAACCACATGACCCAGCGGGTGCCGTCGGCAGCTCGACTCCGGCCGCTCATCCACCAGGAGACGATCCTGCCGGGCCACCAGGAGAATCCTCGCAGCTTCCCAAACACCAACGTGCCGATGCCAAACCCTCGACCGTCCTTCAAACACACACGGTATATTTCCTTTAATTAATTAATACGGCAAATGTACGGTCAGTGAACACCACACGTCCGAGAATCCGAGATAAATCAGCCAGTCGTCTGGCTCCTCTGTGGACCCTCGCCACCTTTTTAAAATAAGATTTTTCTGGCACCAATCCTGAGCTCTATACTCGGGCGTAACCTCGGGCGTAAACTATTTTTTGGGGCTGATGATAGTCCACTCCAGACAAAATAGGCTGCACATATGGCAAACTTTTCCCTAGGACAGAAAAGGCATCACTGGGATTATTTGGTCTCTGACTGGTTAGTTTATTGTTGTAGTTATTCAACAAGACAAATACAAATACAAATCTAAAATACACCCGAAATAGTAAAAATACAAAACAAACAAACAAAAAAAACAAGATTATCAAATGTATTAATACAAACCATGAGTGTCTGCTCCACATTAGCAGTGTGTGGCTACATTCATATTGAAAACAAATGATTAAATAGGACATTGTTCACGGGAATTACATCAGCTAGCATTAGCGTTAGCTTCTTTACATCAATCATTCTTACATTTTTAATCATTTTAATCTAACTACCTGGTACTCTATCTCTCTGGGCGTGGCCTGGTCTCCTCTGGCTGCCGGCTCCGGCGTCACGGCGACCGTTGGGGAGGCGGGGTCTGTGTGTTGCTGAGAAGGTGGAGGGGCGGGGCTACTTGGCTCCTCCTCCTTTTGAAAATCAGCCTCTGACAGGTCGTCCATCACGCTCATCTCTACCTCTCTGTACGCCCGGCGCTCTGCCTGCGACGGGAACACCGAGACAAAGGCCATGATTACGGGCGAATATTTGAAAGCGTAAAAGAAATCAAAAGGTTGTCACGTAAATAAACGCTGATGACCAACAGAGCATAAGTACGTTTGACAGAGTCAAAGAGAAGGTCCAAAATAATCCTCTGTAAATAATGATTCCATATCGTACCAGCAAACAAAGGTCCAATGACAGAATGACCAAAGGTTTGGTTTCCAAGCACAAAGATTCCCTGGTGCTCAAAGTAAGGGGCGGTTTACTGAGCTAATACTACTGATTCATAACTTAAAAATTTGTTTTTAATGAGCACAAATTAAAATCTGGCTTTATGCCTGAGAAGAATACTTTACATAATAGGATTCCATGACAATTTAATAATCCATAACCACTTAGTTATTAAGTTTCGTCGGCTTAAAATAAGACTTGAAACAATGAAACAATGGGCCATTAGTTGTTCCGGTATGTGAAGGGCAATTTAGTGAGAGGTGAAGTGAGGAGATCACAGTTGGCTGCTCTTTGGTTTTTTTTTATTAGAAGTCAACTACACTAGTCATCTGTGGTTTATGGAAAAGCCTTACAGAAATAAGGTCACTAGTTTGATTCCCTATACTCTGATGATGCCACCTCTTCCACTACGACAAATGTTTGAACCCTAACAATCCCATATTGTTACTATTGCTACTGTAGAAACAGAACTTTTCTTTAGCATCATGTTCTCAAACTTAGCTGGGTTCTTTAGCATCATGTTCTCAAACTTAGACTTAAACTCAAACTTTTTTTTAAAGGTCACCATATGTTGAAAGTCTAACGTGAGTTGTTTTTGTCAGCAGCTCAAGTCTCTTTAAATGGCCGCCTGTATATCACTGACGGACTTTATTACTGACCAGTCAGTCAGACACTGGAGAGTCCAGTGTTCTGTTGTTGTGATTTTACTGCTGCTGCTGCTGCTGCTGCTGCTGCTGCTGCTGCGTCCACAGACCAACACTGGGGTCGTTTAAGACGCTCCTGTAATTGATGTTTTCTTTATGTGGATGCTGCGCCCTGATCTAGATGAAGAGCTCGGTGCCCCCTGGCTGTGGGAACAATCCTTTTGATTGTTCCTCTAAACAGGAAGTGAGTGAGAAGAAGAATGGGTGAGGGGGGGGCCAGTGGGGGGTTCAATGGGTTCAGCTGAAGGCTACAGAGAACGAGAGAGAGAGGGAGAGAGTAAATAGGATAATAAAATAAGAATAGAATAGAAAAGTTTGAACAAGGTTGGATGGGAGGGAAAATAAACATTTTCTGCTCAAGTATTTTTTCAAGTCACTTTTTTTTTTCTTTCTGACACAACACACGACTAAACGGACTAAAACCGCGGCGCTGAAGGTCACACATTCACGACACATTATGTATTTATCACTGGCATTTAGAGAATTTTAGTTTCTCCTAATTATTAATGTTATTATATTTATGTCTCACACAGAAGAGATCGGAGATAATGTTAGGTTATGTTGAAACTGACGCACGACTTTGTCCGAGTCCAATGTTTATAGAGAGCAGTGTAAAAAATCTGTTGGTCTGAAACAGTGATTCTCAACCACTGGGTCGCAGCACAGCCGAGTGAACGTGGACCATGTGCAGCTGCGGTGTTGATCTTTGTGTTTCCTGGTCCGTCTGCTCTTTAGGAAACAGCGGTGGTACAGTTTTATTCTCTGGTCCTCTGTCTGAGAACATGATCTCTGGGGAAGACTATTAAATATATCAGAGGGGGGCGTCGGTGTGTCTGCAGGGAAAAGTGTGAGAAATGAGGCAAGAAGTGTTCCTCACAATAAAACTGCTGAACGTTCACTTTTTATTCCACTTCTGAAAACTTCTGGTGGACTCTTCTCTGTTTTCGTAACTATTCTCCAGCGCGCTCCACTGACGCTTCCTCCTCACCTCAGATAGCCTGAGAACACAACTGTAGGAAATGAGACGTGAACAAAGCTGCGGCGACGAAAACACAGACGCTGCCAACGCCGCAGCGTGAGAACTCAGTTTGAACGGGTACTTGGTGGAGTCTGCCGTCTGGTAACGTCAGTAAAATGATCTTCAGGATAATTAGACGATAAAACACTGTTAGTCAAAAGGAAAATTTAAAAATATATATATCATAATGACGTCCGCCTGGGATTTTCATCCAGTTCCTTCCGTACAAAATGAGTCATTACAGAGGGACTGGTTTTTCACTATCTGCACTGGAAAATGAAAGGAAGGAAAATGTCCATCTAGGCTTCCGTAGACAGGGTTTTAATGCCAGACAATGAATGTGATTAGTGTTTAGCACAGAATTACAAAATAATTAGCATTAGCTCATATAAACTATATATTAAAAAAACAATATGTAGAGTTAAAAATAAATAAATAGCTCAATGTTATTAGTCGTATGATATTTAAAAGTGGGTAAAAAAAAACTTGGGTTCAGAAAATTAGGGATAAAAGTTACCCCAGTAATTGCCCTACAGGTAATTAGCGTATTTCATCGAAGGACTATGCACTGTGTTGAAAACAATAACAGTTTTCTAGCAGCACAGGCCACTTCACTTGAATGTACTTGAGTATAAAATAAATACCGTCTAGTTTGTATTCATAAACTGTAAAGTCAAGTGTCAAAGTTTAGAGAAATACGAGTGGACGGCTGGTGAAAGACATGACGGTGTTGTAACCCTGACACAGCTCCAGCTTATAAATAATCATGACATCACTTGTTACTATGCAGCCAGAACGTCTCTCTGGCCCAGATGTCAAACCTCACCACTCCTGCAGAGCAAACTCCGTGACCTAAAAACACACTTTTTCTCTTTTCTGTCCTCCATTCTACTCCAGTGCAGTGAGGGTGTGTGACCAGCAGGGGATGAAAGGAAGAAGAAGAAGAAGAAGAAGAAGAAGAAGAAGAAGAAGAAGAAGAAGAAGAAGAAGAAGAAGAAGAAGAAGAAGGTGGAGGGACGATGACTACGACACATAAATCCACAGAGAACAGACTGTAAAAGTGAGAGTGTCGTGTTGTGACACTTCTCTCCTCTGGGTGACCCCCGAGTCAACACATCAGTCTTTCTTTGCTCCTGTTGACCTCTGACCTCATAAAAATCCAAATCAGGGCTGTTACACGGATCACAGTCAGACCACACGCACAAACACACAAATACACACATACACGACCAGGAGTGTAAGAAAATCTGTCCATGCTCTTAGTGTTACCTCCAACATCTGGTGGACAAAACAATGGAAACGACAACTAGATTTAGGTATCAGAAATACAAAAATATGGGTCGGGGACAGAAACATGACCGTCGTCCAAAACACTACGAAATATTTTAGACCAACAGGAATATTTCTCTGCTGACATGTTTTTAATCCAGTTGCTGTACCAAACTTTTTTTTTTT